CGCATCCAAGACGACCTCCGGTAAACAACCGCCGGTCACACCACACATTCACACGCTCCATACCCTCCTCGTCCACCACCACCACCATCACCCCACCAGACATCAACACTCACACACCTCATGCACCCAACTGCCACCTCCCACGCAAGTGGGAAGTGTGCATCTCGACTCGGTCCCCATGCGGCTTCGGCTGCACGGGTGGCTTGAGTCCGAGACTATCCCGACACGTCAAGCGTCATGGATAGGAAGATTGCTGATTGACGCCCGCACTCGGTTCACGCAGTTCGTCGCGTTGTGTATGTGTGTTGTGTGGAGTGGCGGACTGGTGGGCTGGGGATGGGCTGAAACAGCACCTTCCACGGCACTCTCACGCCAGTGAGAGACACGCCGTTCAACCCCCGTTGTGTGAAATCCTGGTGTTTATGTGTATGGGGGGCCAGGTTGTGCTGTGGCGCGCGCAGGCATGGTCAGTCGACCATGACAGCCACCACGCCCATTTTCCACTCCAGTCTGCTGACCAGCTCGGACAGCGGCTGGGGTGTGGGAGTGGGAAGGGAGAGTGAGGTCGACGACTCAGCGCATTTTCCTCACTATAAACAATTTGACGCGCTTAAGCTATCACGGTGCGCTAAAAGCCGTGGCTTGGAATGTTGTCAACTAACGGGGTATCTTGGGCCTCCTCCTTCACCGGTGATGGTTTGAGAGTCAGGCTACAATGGCTCCTTTTTAATGTGGCCTTTATGGCACTTCCACCACAGTGTGAGATCCTAGCCAGGCGTTGGCGGCACGCCCAGGTGCGGCTTCGGCCATGCCAGCCTCCAATCTCTGTTGTTTTGGTAAAAAATCCTGGTTATTGTTGTGTGGACCAGGGGGTGTGGTGGAACGCCAAGGTGAGGATCCGTCCGAGCCATCCACTTGCGGCCTCCCCGTCTCCGGTCTTCTTGACTCTGTCTTGACACCGGGCTCAGGCGGTGGAGGAAAAGAGAGTGTATGTAGATGCAGCGCAAGTCTACTGGCACTATAGACCCCTGCGCAATTCACCGTTCCTGCTCCCATTGCTGCGGCAGCTGTGGGGCACACGGTGGACATCATCGAAATCGATGGTCGAACTGTCGTGTGGGGGGGGGTGTACGTGTGTCAGCGGTGGATCCACGTGATGGTCGTAGTGGTCGCTCGCTTGCTTACACGTGAGACTACGCCTAGCGTCAATTTGCTGGCACCCAACTCTCACCTGCGGCTCCACGTAGCTGGGCTCTGCTCAGCGGCCACACCCCGGGCAACCGTCTCGACCGGCGGGCTAAACCAGGTGAGGGCGCTGTGCACTTGTGCCGTGTGCACAGCGTACCGCGGACTCCGCGGTCGAAACAATCAAAATCGAAACAACAACAATACCAATAACAACAACAACAACCATACTCATTCTCCTCATTTAACTCTTCTTCCTCTTCCTCTGCTTATTCTTCTCCTTCGTCACCTTCTTCTCCATCTCCTTCCCGTCGCCCCACTATTTGTCACCAGTCTGGCAGGGTGAGTCCGCTCACTCTGGCAGCCTGGAATGTTCGTTCCCTTTTAGGCAATCCGACGAGCAACCGACCGGAACGGAGGACGGCGCTAGTGGCACGAGAACTGGCGCGCTACAAGGTGGACATCGCCGCACTCAGCGAGACCCGATTCTCCGAACAAGGCCAACTGGAGGAGGTGGGTGCCGGCTACACCTTCGTCTGGAGTGGTCGACCCCGGGCAGAGTGACGAGACGCGGGTGTCACATTCGCCATCCGAAACAACACCGTGGGACGACTGCACTGTTTGCCACAGGACATCAACGATCGCCTGATGAGCCTCCGTCTGCCTCTCAGGGGTGGGGACGAATTCGCCACCATCATCAGCGCCTACGTTCCGCCGATGTCTAGCCCCGACGACGCAAGAGACAAATTCTACGAGGACCTGCACGCCTTCTTGGCGACTGTGTCGAAGGCGGACAATTTGATTGTCCTTGGCGACTTCAACGCCCGCGTTGGCACAGACCATGATGCCTGGAGGGGAGTGCTGGGTCCCCATGGTCTCCGCGGCTCAAATGACTAGGCCTGCTCCTTCTCCGCACCTGCGCAGAACACCGCCTCATCCTGACGAACACCCTCTTCTGTCTGTCGGAACGAGGGAAAGCCACCTGGAGGCGGCCTCGGTCGCGTCAGTGGCACCTGCTGGACTATGTCCTCGTCCGGAGGCGAGATCAGCAGGACGTGCTGGTGACGAAGGCGATCGTGGGCGCTGGCGGGTGGACCGACCACCGCCCCGTCATCTTGAAGATGCGTATTCGCCTACAGCCTCACAGGAGATCACAAGGTAAGCGATCCCCAGGTAAGATGAATATTGCCTTGTTGTCCTTGTCCGCTTACCATCTTCATTTAACTAATGAGCTAGCTCAACGGCTAGACAACCTTCCTATCGCAGCCGCCGTCGCTGCCGAGAACGCCTCTGTGGAGAACCGATGGTGTCAATTGCGGGACACAGTCCAGTCGACGGCGCTAGCCGTCCTCGGTCGCGCAGGCCGCCGCCAACACCAGGACTGGCTCGACGACAACCACGCCGCCATCTGCAATCTGCTCACCGAGAAGAACCGCGCCGACGACAGTACCGTCCTGACTGAGAAAACCCAAATTCTAGAGTTATGGGTCTAGTACTTCCAAGGCGTCCTCAGCCGCCCCTCCACCATTTCCGACGCCGCCATCGACCGTCTGCAGCAAGTGGAGACCAACGTGGACCTCGACCTCCAACCATCTCTCCAGGAAACCATCAGGGCCGTGCAGCAGCTCTCCAGCGGGAAAGCACCCGGATCGGACACGATCCCTGCTGAGGTCTACAGGCACGGCGGGCATCAACTCTTGGATCTGTTGTGTTGGTGAAAATCCTGGTTATTTGTTTTGTGGACCAGGGGGTGTGGTGGAACGCCAAGGTGAGGATCCGTCCGAGCCATCCACCTGCGTCCTCCCTCGTCTCCGTTCTTCTTGACTCTGTCTTGACACCGGGCCCAGGCGGGGGAGGAGGAGAGATTGTAGGCAGATGCAGCGCAAGTCTACTGGCACCATAAAACCCTGCGCAATTCACCGTCCCTACTCCCACCGCTGCTGCAGCTATGGGGCACACGGTGGACACCGTCGAAATCGACGGTCGTACTGTCGTGTCGTCGTGTGTGGGTGGGTGTGTGTGTAGGGGTTTCCAGCGGTGGGTTCAAGTTATGGTCGTAGTAGGTCGCCCACTTGCTTGCAAGTGCCAACTACGCCTAGCGTTCATTTGCTGGCACTCAACTCTCACCCATGGCTCCCCGAAGCTAGGTTTAGATCAGCGGCCACATGACTGGCGGGCTAAACCAGGTGAGGGTATCCGTGTGTGCATCTGTACACAGGGTACTGTGGTCTCCCGCTGGCCGAATGGATCTTCGCATCGACATCTTCGAGACGAGGCTTTGCATGGACCATCGCAGGAGGCCACCAGGTAAGTGAATCCTCAGATAAGTGAATTTTGCTCTGTTTCCTCCCTTACTTGCCTCACTTGACTCCTTACTTGCCTGCTCAGTCGCGTGCTGTATGCTGCTTTTTTGCCTGCTGTTTATCTCTTAGTCTGTGCCTGTCTCTGCTAACAGCTAGGTGTTACTGTGCTTGACTTCGAATGATGCCCTCCTACTTCTGTCTCTGACTGATGACTATGTCGGTTTGTCAATCCTAACTGTGAGTCCCATAGCGTTCTGTTGTGTGTATACTCTCTCCTACTTATTCCCCCCTCCCCCCCCCCATCAAGGTCCCAGGCTAATTCGGGTCGTTCTCTCACTAACAAAAAGTCGTGACCCATAGTGGAGTTCGGCAGACGTCTGGGATAGCCGGGCATACCTATTTAGGGGTTGCGCTGCCTGCCCACGCAAGGGAGAAGGGGCTAGAAAAGGTGCCCTAAAAATTGCTGGGAACCACGCTGTCTGTTGGCTGGCCGTGGCCACAGACAAGAAACACACGGTCGAAACAGCCAAAACCGAAACAACATCCGTCTCTCTCTTCCTCGTCCTACCTATTCCCCTTCTTCCTCTCCTTCACACTTTCGCGGCCGCAATCGCCAGACTGGCAGGGTGAGTCCGCTCGCTCTGGCAGCCTGGAATGTTCGTTCACTTTTAGAAAATCCAAGGAGCAACCGACCAGAATGGAGGACAGCGCTACTGGCTCGGGAACTGGCCCGCTACAAGGTGGACATCGCCGCACTCAGCTGCTCTTGTTGCCTGTTCTATATCCTTTGTCTGTGCCTGTCTCTGCTAATAGCTAGGAGATACTGTGCTTGACTTCGAATGATGCCCTGTTGCTTCTGTCCCTGACTGATGATTATGTCTGCTTGATCAGAAGAAGAAGCGATCGTTGGAACAAGGGCTTTGTTCGCCTGACGTTTCGGATTCTCACTTGAACCCATCATCAGAGACAGTGGCAGAGAAGTGGGTGACGGGTGCACAGAAAGTTGCAGCATTTATAGGATGCAGTCGCTATGCTACCTCATACCTATAGCAATTACTCCGGCTCCCCTTCATCAAGGATTGTTTCACGCTGGTGCGCTAATGACTTGATGGCCGGCATGTAAGTTGTTAATTGGTGAACTCTCACCACCCGTGTTGGATGCTGGCGTGATGATTGCTCGGCCATCTGGCTCACCGGCTTGCGCGCTACCCGAGTGGTCAATTACTTTGGCCAGCCTATGCCTCAGCACGGAATATGGAGTGGGGTGTTGTCGTATGTGCTGATAGAATGAGATCCAGTGAACCATGAGTCAAGCAACTCGCAACTCACGCGATTATCCCATCTCGCGAGAATTTCGGCCTAATCGAACGTGAATATCCGGTCGGGTCTCGTCGAATGGGCAGCGACATGAGAGTTGGCGTCATTTATCCGCACCGCTGCCACGTGTTCGGCGATTCGCGACCGGAGCAGTCTTCCAGTTTCTCCGATTTAGTTACTTTGTCCGCAACTGCACCAGATACGGTAAACGACTTTAGATGTTTTTTTGCCGCACAACACGGCAGTGCGGCAGCTCTCCAGCCGGAAAGCACCCGGATCGGACGCAATCGCTGCTGAGGTCTACAAGCACCGAGGTCCGCAACTCATGGATCACCTGACTGCGCTCTTCCAGGAGATGTGGTGTCAAGGTGAAGTCCCGCAAGATTTCAAAGACGCAACAATCGTGCACCTATACAAGCGAAAAGGGAACCGCCATGTCTGCGACAATCACCGCGGCATCTCCTTGCTGAACATCGTCGGGAAGATGATCACTCGCATCCTCCTCAATCGTCTGAACAATCATCTGGAACAGGGCCTTCTGCCGGAAAGCCAATGCGGATTCCGTCGTCATCGAGGGACCACGGATATGATCTTGCGACGGCTTATCAACTGCAGCCTGTCCTTGCATAACACAGACAGCAACTGAGATACATACAGAGATTTGAACTTACCCGGAGATAATCAATATAAAACAGCAAGGTTTTCGTATATTGCACGCAGAATAATAATTAAAATGGTAACTTGAAAACGCAACATAGGAACGAAAATGGGGAAGTTAACACGCGGAATGTTTGCGTAAATCGAAGTGCTCACATTGGCCAGGGCAAGCTTATGTTAATTTCGTGGTCAATCTGTTTGCATAGGTCGGCTTTCTCTTCGCTCTATATAAACTGCCTCCAAGTAACGCATAATTCGATTTGTTCGTGCCCGAACTAGTACTCGAAAAAATGTTCTAGGGTCAGCGGGATGACCGCTATTTAGGAGGTGCTTTATGATAGAAGATCGTAGAATTTTATTCTCCTGCTTTAGAAGTTATTTGGGTAAGTGCTAAACTGACCTGGCTGTCAATTGCCTTTGCGCCAGCCCAATGTACTTGCATCCACAAATGCATGTGAATTCGTAAATACAATTTGACGTGGCGTGCAATGGCAAGGCATCATTCGACAGTGGAACTTGGATAGCCTTAGTTGGGCTGCAGAATATAAGTTCAGTGGATTTGGGTGTTCCTTCAATGACGCATCTCAATCGCCGCTTGGTTTTTGAGTTGCTGTCACGCTTAAATGGGGAGAATATTACAACAGGCTTTCTAGGAACTGATTGCTCTGTCAATTTTGGCCGTAAAGTGTTACTATACTTTTCGATGAACCCCGTTGGACATCCACGCTTAAGCAAGGCTGTTTCGAGGCAGGAAGTTTCAGCATACAGTGGTTCCATAGAGCAAATGTTTCTTGCTCTTTGGAATATAGTTTTAACCAGAGTTCTCTTTCGTTGTATCGGCACAAAGCTCAAGAAGTGTAGGTGTTGGCCTTTCCACGTATCCTTGTGAAAAACCGATCGTCTTAGTGAACCATCTTACTGCCTAGTCATGAGGACATCCAGGAAAAATAGCTTGTTACACTGCTCCTTTTCCATTGTGAATTTGATCTTTGGATGGCGACTATTCATGGTAACAATTAGGTCTTCGGCTTCCTCGTTGTTATCAACAATAGCAAAAATGTCGTCCTCATATTTTTGTTTGCATATTCAATTTAATTCTAAGTGACCCATAAGAATGTCGGTAAGGGTTGGACCAAATGGACTTCCCACTGCCACTCCATCTATTTGTCTATATAGCTGTCCGTTAAACAGAAATTGAACGTTTTTCGTGCAAACTTTCAACGGGTCACGTAATAGTTCGGGCGAAAAACAGGTTTCAGACGCATAAGCACATATAATATCGATTACGTCACCGAGTGGTACATTTGTAAATAGTGAAGCAACGTCCAAGGATACCGTGCATCTGTTTGAAATTTCCTGACGCCTAATTTCTTCAATAAAATGGAAACTATATTTTATCGTGTAGGTCGGAAATAGGTGTCGTATTGGTTCTAATTCCTTGACAGGCCACTGCTCTAGTCTGTGTTGAGGTGAACAAAATATAGACTGAATTGGTCGTAGAGGTGTGTCCTTCTCATGATTTTTTGGCAATTCACATAGTCTGGGAGTACATGTACCCATCGGTTTTAGGGATTGCGTGGTTTTAGCATAAATCAGATTTTTGTCGAACAAATGATTAATTACTTCCCAGGCGGAGTCGTACTTTGCCTTGGTTTCATCTTTCCCGGGCGTTTCAAGACGAAATTTACTAGGATCGTTCAAAGCAAAGAAATAATTGAAATAATTTTATTAACAACCCATCAGGGTCCCATCAATACAAGTAAAAATAAATTTTCATGTGAATTTTAGACAAAATTCAATTCATAGTTTCTAAATTAGTAGTCCGCTAAGAAATATGATGAGCGAGCAGTGAAAAAACTCCACTCAAGAATAAGAAAAATGATTGGATTAACTTTACAGGAGGCAAAAACAGTCGCTCATGAAAGGGCAAAAATGCGGGCAGGGCTGGCCTGCATATGGCGGTGTATAACGGATTCAAAACGGACATCTTCAGGGCCGAATTGATACGCCGGATGAGACTACTCGCGTCAAAGAGGCCAGACGAGAGGAACCCATACGCGATCGGTCACAGTCCGCTTCAAGCCCAGCCAAGGAGTGGGGAAGGGAGGTACGACCAAACTACTAGTAGACGGCGAATACTGAGGGTTCCGTCGTGAGCGTCGATAGACCGCATGAGGTGGAAGTGCGGGAGATGACATCAAGAACCGCGAAAATCGTCGCTATGGGGGAGAAGTGATAGCAGTGGATTTATAAACCAATTCAAAACGGGTTTTTAATGATATAATTGAGAATTATCACTTGATCTACCACTAAATCCCAGGATGACCCTTCTCGAAGTCAAGAATCTGAGTGTTTGGGAATGAGATTTGGGAATGAGTGTTTGGGAATGAATTTTCACCCTCTCTCGGAATTTAGTTTCTTCGAGAATTCGACTTACTGTACGCTCTTAGAGCCTCAATTAAGACGGAATTAAGACCTAAACTCGACTCATCAACATCTTCCTCCCAACTAGTCTTCTGCAGCACATTCCCAGTACTCCGATTTCGGTCGTGCTCGTTCCTACAACTTGCAAGCCCAGACAGACGGATTATCTGCAGAACAACACATCCGAAGCTTCTACAAAGGCTGAGTTGCTTTTCCACTATTAGACATTGTTTCATCATCGTCTCAAAGTACCCTAATAGCAAAGAGTTACAAACTTTTTCCGAATCCGAAACGATTCGTACCCTTAGTTTCGACCGGCCGGAAGCGAATCGAATACGCCCTTGTCAAGCGAAACGGTGGCGAATCGACTCCGATCGTTCGTGACTCATAATTTTCAGGCAAACGACAGTCTACTTATATCCGTTATAAGCGACCCCCCAGACCCCCATCCAGGTTTCGCACCCAACCGGCCCCTATAGTTACTGCTAATACCATTTCTAGCAATGACTGTAAGTAATGCTTTATTAAAATTGAAAAAAATTTATTTACAACATAAAATCTTTAAATGTACAAAAAAGGTCATTGTTCCGATGACGGGCCCGCGCCACCAATTTGCTTTTGTGAATCTGCAACGGAAACAATTGAGATTAATTTCTATAAAAAATAAGTTTTCAATTACATTAAATTAAATGTATTTATGTTAAAAGCAGACTCACTGTTAATATTGGCCTTAATTTGCCTTTTCAAAAGCCTGTCATATGCCCGCTTGAAGGCGTTTTTCATTGCCCGCTCCAACTGGTGACGGCCGGAGCGCTGTCCTCGATTCCAGTGGTCGAAGACCTCTATAATAAAATCCATCAGCATACATGCAGTTCAGGTCCTACCCTGCCCTCGGAAGCTTCTCAACCATACCATATGAAGTTACTTTCTACCGAAAGATCGTCATAAAAGCCTTTTCTTCATACTTAAGCCTGCGCTCTTTGTGTATATAGAAAAGTTATCCAGAATGTTGGAGTCCGCACCTGTGTTTCAAAGTAACGCGCACTCGGGGTTCGAACCGAGGACCTCAAAAGTTAGAGCCAGCTCCGCTAACACCTGCACTATCGCCGCACGACCGGAGCACACAGCTAAAAGCTTTGTTAATTTGTCACCACAGGATCTCGTAGGATATTCATGTAATGGTTGTCAAACGATAGCCTACAAGATGCATCAACTAGAGGAAGAAGTAAGAAATCTGAAGGAACTTATTTACAAAACTGTTTCTTCAGAGGCCCGCCCGGGGTTATCTACGCAGAGGTTAACTCGGAGTAGAGCGAGAGCCATCCAGTGTGAAGAATCCCCAGAAAGCAATCATGTGGTGAATAAGACAACTGTTGTTAGTAGGCAAATAGTGGCATCCGATGAAAAAAAGAATAAGAAGAAGACTACACCTAACATCACGGGGAAAAGTCGCCAGAATACGAAAGAAAGCATATCGGTCTTGTCCGAAAAGCAGTTGAAAAACGAAACGACCGTAAATGTGCCAGCAGAAGAAGTGAAAGGAAAGGAGCAGTTGACGCCCAACCGTAGAAATCCCCATACAATGTGCTCATTTCCGGAGCCTAACTTAGAGGGCTTATCAGTTAGCGCAATGACATATGGTTATGGACCCACGGTGGAATTAGCTGCCACCGCGAATTCCCATGTCAACAGAGTTGAGAACCGAGCCGAGGAAGCCTCTAATTCATGGGGGTCAAGCTCTCTTCAGAGCCCTCTGATGGGAAGCAGTGCCCATCAACCACATCGTGCAACTATTCATGATGCCTCAACAAGATCCGCGGACGAACTTCACGGGGACATAAATACCAATATGACAGCCCCTTCCTTTTCGTCAGTCCACTTCGACGAGGACAAAGGACCGGTCAACGACGTCCAAACCGCAGAACACAGAGGAATGCTTAACAAGGATCACTGCATCATAATTCAGGGCCTGCCAGAGTCTTCCGCCAGTACCCCCGGGGAACGAGTCGCTGCTGACTTAGAGCAATTCCAGAAACTCCTAAATGAAATGCTGCAACCAACAGAAGATGTCACAGTCGTAAAGGCGTTTCGTCTTTGTAGCCGTACAACCGCCGCTCCACAGACACGACCAAGACCCCTGAAACTTGCCCTAGGTAGCAATGAGCAGGCGAAACTAATCCTTTCCAGACGTTTTCGACTGAAAAATTCCCATAAAGGAGTGTTTTTTTCGGCCGGACTACTCACCTGCCGAGAGAATGAAACGCCGCGAACTTGTCCTAGAATTGAGAACACGACAAACTAACGGGGAAAAAGACTTGACAATCTACAACGACCGGATAGTCAAACGACATTCCGCCCCACTCTGGATCAAGCTGATCCGAATGACCGCACAGATACCACGGTAGCCTGTGTCGGGGTTGATAAAAAATTACGCATGAACTCGAAACTCATATTCATTTATACCAACGCGCAAAGTGTACTTTCTAAACTGGATGAACTTCGTATCCTTACCCATGACCTCCACCCATACCTTATCTCAATAACAGAAACATGGCTTTCCGAACAGATTGATGATAGAGAACTCATGCTCCCTGGATTTCAACTGTTCCACAGAGACAGACAAAACAGGAGGGGTGGAGGCATAGTCACATTTGTTAAAAATGGCTTATACGTTTCAGAAAAAACTGCCCAATTGACTTGCAGTACGGAAGCGTTGTGGCTGATCATAAGGGCACCGGACTCTCAAAGCCTCGATATCTTGACAGTATACCGCCCCCCGAGAAATGACCCTGACGCTGATGCCCAACTGCTGGAGGAGCTCAGATTATTTTCAACGCGGCCGACTTCTCTCATCGTTGGAGATTTTAATGCACCTCACATAAACTGGAGCTCGGCCTCAGCCGACTGCTCTTAAGCAGCATTCGACCAGCAGTTACTGCGTACCTCCGACAATCTGCTTCTAACCCAACACGTAATGTTTCCAACGAGAGTTCGAGAGGGCCAGCAAATGAATTGCCTTGATCTGGTGTTCACCAAGTCCTCTGACAATATCGAAGTTGTTAATTGCCTCCCCCCGTTGGGTCAGAGTGACCGTGTAATTCTCATGCGGGAATACACCTTATTCTCCCTGCCTGCACAACCGCTCGATTCCCGACCCAATATCTGGCGCGGAGATTTCGAACAGATGAGAAGGGATCTAAGTCCTATCGACTGGGCATCCACTCTATCCGGCGATGTCGAAGAGGTTTGGTGTCAGTTCAAAGAGTTACTCCACAACCTCATCTCCAACCATTGCCCAATCATGCACAGAAGACTAACAAATAGACCCCGCTGGCTGACTCCGTCCTTAAAGAAGGAGGTTAACAAGAAGAGGAAGCTGTGGAAAAGATGCCTGACTGACCGGACGCCAGAATCCCTAAGCAGATATAAGTCTCAGAGAAATTGGGTCAAAGTTCTCATCGCTAGAGATCGGAAAGCCTTTGAAAAGGATCTTCTCAACCGTGCCAGGGTTAATCCCAAAGTCCTCTACAGCTACATAAGACAGAGCACGCGGAACAAAGACCCCATCCCACTGCTGCGAACAGCCGAGGGAATGAAAATCTCCGATGACAAGGATAAGGCTGAACACCTCTCTCAGTTTTACCGGTCCGTCGTGACAAGTGAACCTGATTTTCTCTCCCTCATTTGTGAAGACGAAGAAAAGCCTACCCTTGAAGCCGTATTCTTCACCGAAGCAATTGTTCGGAATGAGTTACTTAATCTGAAAGAATCGACCTCCCCAGGCCCCGATGCAATCCCCGCCAAGCTGCTGAAGGAGCTAGCTCCCGAAATGTCCAAGCCATTAGCCTAGATCTTCCAAACATCATTTCTTACTGGATGCCTACCCTCTGACTGGAAGTCCGCTACCATCATTCCGCTTTTTAAGAGCGGAAGTCGTGCGTCTGCGAATAACTACAGGCCAGTGAGTCTTACCTCCATCTGTTGCAAAATCATAGAGAAGATCATTAAGAAGGCCTTGTTGCAGTTCCTCGAGCAGCACCACCTCCTCTCTGATGCACAACATGGCTTTCGAAGTGGTAGGTCCTGTCTCACGAATCTGCTCTTTACGCTCGAACGCTGGACCAAAGCACGCGATGAAGGTAATGTGGTGCACGCCATCTACATCGATTTCAAAAAGGCCTTCGACAGCGTTCCCTACCAACGTCTCTTACCCAAACTGCGCAACGCTGGAATTCGTGGACGCCTTCTTGTATGGATCCAGAGCTTTTTGGCTGGACGGTCCCAAAGAGTGCAGGTCGGGCGTCAACAGTCCTCAGAGGTAAGCGTGGTGAGTGGCGTCCCACAGGACTCAGTCCTAGGTCCCACGTTATTCCTCGTCTTCATAAATGACTGCGTCAAGGACTTAGACTGTGATACCATCCTGTTTGCCGCCGACATTAAATTGTGGAAAGTTATTCACAATGCGGCAGACGCAGACCAACTGCAAGCAAACCTGAACAGACTCGAAGACTGGTCGAAGCGCTGGCTTATGCCCTTCAATATAAGCAAGTGCAACTTTCTTCAACTAGACAGCTTCAGATCCTCCAGCCCCAGGACTTACTTTCTAGAGGGCACACCACTGCAACAGGTTGGCAGTCAGAAGGACTTGGGTGTATGGATTACATCTTCACTCAAACCAACACTGCACTGCGCGAAGGCGGCTAAATCGGCTATGGCTACACTGCAACTCATTAAGCGAGCATTTAAGGGATTTGATCCAGACAGCTTTTCAAAAATATTTGGCACCTACGTGAGTCCTCATCTAGAATACGCCATACAGGCGTGGAGACCTTGGACTGCCAAGGACTATACCGTTTTGGAGAAGGTCCAGAGACGGGCGACCAGAATGAAACAAGGTCTGGGAGCGCTGTCTTACGAATCTCGACTGTCAGCTCTCAACCTATTTCCACTTTCCTACAGGCAATTACGTGGTGACCTTATACTTGCATTTCGCATTATCAACGGTCTAGACTGTTGTTTAGATCCCACTGATTATTTCACACAAGCTAACACGCCCAATTTGCGCGGTCATCCCCCAAAACTACGCGCCGGGAAAGCAAGGATCAATGGAAGAAAGTTCTTTTTCAGTCACAGAGTGGTTGCAGCGTGGAATGCCCTGCCAACCGATGTTGGAACCTCCTCCTGTGTGAATTCCTTTAAGTTTAGACTTGACGCGCATCAAGCCTCCCAGTTACCAGCCTTGCATCCACTCACATAACCGGCACCAACTTAAACTTGTTTATACTACTTGTAACTTGTTAGTAACCGTTATTGATTACTCTTTTTGACTAGCTGTCAGCGATTATGTACAAAACCCCTTTTTTTCTCCTTCCCACTATCAATGATTTTCTCTGACGACTTGTAACCAATAGGGAGTTCAAAGGCCTCGCCTATATTTCCCTTAATAAACTGAAACTGAGACCGTTAAAATTGTCTTTATACTTTCCGGTGTAAGGTGTTTACGTAATTTCCACTTGAATACCAGTAACTTAGGCGATTACCTAATTTCTGGTGGAAGATTATTCCAAAGGAAGGCACATTTGGATGAAAAAGGAGGGAGCGCTTGAATGTAATGCGAAGAGGCGGCGGAATTACCGTGGGGGGAGTTGTGCATGGCATAAGACCGATCTCTTGGAGTGAGGGTGTCAATAAGCGAAAGAATGGAGCTAGAGTGGATGCAAAAAAGGAAGCAAAGGCCAGCTCCGAGTCTTCTAACCCACAAAAACCTAATTTTCGCCAGCTGCCATCTCTGAGTACAAGAAATACCGGACGAAGCTTGAGAGAGCAGTTTCCAGGCGAAAACCCTGTGAACATTTTCGACCTTATTACGGTCACAGGCGTTCGTTAAACCAAAGAAAGGACAGCACTATTCGAGGAATGGAAGAACAAACGTTTGATACGGTCTTAGCTTCATTTCCGGAAGGAAACATTATGCGATATGAATCCACATATCTGCGCGGCTTTGGCAAAGATTCTATCTGCATGAGGTGATAAAGCAAGTTTATTTGTATAACAGAAACCTAGTTTGTTATTAAGCATTCTGAGAGTGGGTTATCATGAAAAATTATGGGACCAGGAAGTTGGGCAGCACCAAAAGACATGAAACTACACTTGGATTATGAAAACTCCATCTTCCATGTTGAACTCCATCTACTTAAGCGTAGTAAATCGGCATTAATTTTTTAAACAAAAATATTTGCGGTATCCTTAATTGACGAGCCTTGTGGTGGGTGCGCATATATCCAAATCAAAGTAGAACAACTCGAAAAGGAGCTTGCTGATTTAATGACGCTCATAAAACAGAACCTCGATGACCAGAACGTCCCCAGTGTTAAAGTCCAAAAATCGAAGAGCAAAATGCGAAAAATATCTCCTCGGGGGCATCTCCAAACACGGTTTGCCACTCAGTAGCTACAACCGCCGATGTTGGTAACAGCAGGACAACGCAAACGAATCCGCCGATATGGGCAGACTCGACTCCCACGCAAGATGACTTAAGCAATGTCACAAACAATTACCTGGCGCGGAAGCCATCTGGCCTAAGCCTCTTGTTGTGAGTGAAGGGATTTCTCTTTTGCCTAGAGACGATATAACTAGACCATCCAATCAACTTTTGCCCTAGTGTTCTCGCAACCACCCCGAGCGCTCTACAGAGCAAGTATTTGAATGAGAAGACATGACCCCGTAAGTAGCGGGGGGGGGGAGAGGGAAGCTCTATAACAGGAGTCTGATGGGTTGCTTGGGACAGTCGGTAAACAGTTAAAGTGTGTGTCCAAGCGACGACTCCGTAAATCGATCGCGCCCACATGCAGAGAATTCACCGGAAAAAAACTTAGGAGGACCGTGACCGCCAACAGTGTCTGGTTATTCAGGGCTTGTTGGAATCGAATGCAATCAGACCCGAAGACCGTATATCGGAGGACCTTGCTTCTTTTCATGGTCTACTAAAACAACTACTCCAGGCAGACATGGAAATAAAGGTTCTGGAAGCATTCCGGACTGGAAAACGGAGTGAAGACAAGACAGCGGCACTATCAGTTCGCCCTCTCAAAATTATGGTGGGGAACAAAAAACTAATCCAGTTGATCATCTCCAAAAAACCGACCTCAGAAACAAACAAACAGGTTGCATTTCAACTGCACTACTCACCAGCGGAACGGCTGAAACGCCAGGAAATTGTATTAAAGATTAAAATCGAGACTGAAGGGGGGAGAACACAATCTGGCCATTTTCAAGGGGAAGGCAGTTTGGAAAAATATGTCGTTTCAGTGGAACCAGCCAGTAATACAAAGAACGACGGCAGCTAATCAGCTAGCACAGACACTTTCGTGGAACCAGACGCTCGAGGCGACAACACAAGTAAGTCCTTAACGTCCAGTGTTCTGACTGGAGCAATGGACATTAATGGAACCCATCAGGCAACGGAAGAGCCCAGAGAAAATGGCATCCGATAAAGCGCATTAATGCTCAAAACAGTGACACATGCAACCGGAAATTTGGCTGGCGCAAAACTGAGGTGCTTGTACACGAATGCCCAAAGCCTAGTATCGAAACTCGACGAGCTAAAACTTTGCCTTGCCAAACTGTCTCCGGAGGTTTTAGCCGTAACCGAGACCTGGCTGTCCGGGACCAATCGCGATGGCGAAATAGCCTTGTCTGGATACCAAATTTATCGGAAGGACGGGGAACATCGTCAAGAGGGTGGTCTAGTTGTGCATGTGAATGAGGGCCTGGTAGTGTTGGAAAGCACACCAAGTTGGCGTGCAGCACGGAAGTTATTTGCTTGACCATCAAGTTTACTGGTTTCCCGTGCCTAGATGTCCTCACTGTCTACCGACGACCTAGGACAGACCAAATCGCCGACAATCAACTATTGGAGCAGTTGGAGAAATTTTCCAGTCGACCTAACATCATGATCATGTTCGACTTCAAAGCAGCAGGAACAAACTAGAACACCCTTCAGCGTCAGGTTCAAAACTGACATTCGACCACGGTTTTCTGAACAAAATATTAAAGGCACTCCCCGCACAACGTGTGATATTTCCAACGAGAGCACGTGAAGGACAAAGGGCAAACTGCCTGGATCTAGTTTTTACGAAAGCACCAGACAGCATAGATGAGATCACCTCCGTGCCACCCCTTGGCCGAAGTGACCACGGAATGCTTATATGGAACTATTTGTCATTCTCCATTTTGCATACTCCTGACCCTGAGAGACGCAATGTTTGGCGGGGCGACTTCAATCAGATGAGGGCAGACCTGTCCGGTCTCGACTGGAGCTCATTGTTTACGGGTAATGCCAACGATGACTGGGAGTTGTTCAAGAATGTCCTTCTGCAGCCCATCAACAACCACTGCCCACTGACTAGTGTAGGACTGAACAAACGCCCTGGGTGGCTAAATAGCAACATTAAGAAAGAAATCAACAGGAAGCACAAATTGTGGAGAAAATACAGCGTCAATGGGCAAATTGTATATTTCAAAACCTACAAGACACAGAGGAACAAACTGAGAAAAATCATTATAAAAACGCGGAGGGAATTCGAGAAGAATTTGTTACAAAAGCAACGCAGAACACAAAAGTACTCTACAACTAACTCCGACAAAGTACAAGGAACGCGCATCAAATCCCCTTAAAAAGGACTACTGATGGCGTTGAGATTGCTAATAGTAGGGATGAGGCTGTGTATTTTCCACTGTTTTTCCAATCAGTATACACAAACGAGGCAAAGTTCCTTCTCCCTCGACGGAAGAACTACCGACCCCAAGCATCAGTGATATACTCCTCTTAGAAGGCATTGTTGGAAGAGAATTAGAGACATTGGACCATTCGAAGTCGCCAGGACCAGACGGAATCCCACCCAAGCTTCTCAGGGAACTGCCTAGTGAACTTTCAGTGCCTTTGTAGATGCTCTTTCAAGCGTCCTTTGACACTGGAACACTTCCTATCGATTGGAAGCTCGCACACATTATTCCGCACTGCAAAATAGGTGGCAGGTTATCGACGACAAACTACAGGCCCATAAGCTTGACATGTATTCTCTGCAAATTTATGGAAAGGATTATAAATAGTGAACTGATGAATTTCCTGGACGTTGACGACCTGCTATCGAAATGCAAACACGGGCTTCGGAAAAGAAGATCCTGCACGCCAAACTTGCTGCAATCTCTCCAGAGCTGGACCCGAGCTTTCAACAACAGGCACGCGGTCCACATAGCCTTTATCGACTTCCAGAAGGCGTTCGACACTGTGCCACACCAGAGGCTCTTACATAAACTAAAAAATAGGGATAAGTGGCAATTTCCTTAAATAGGTCGAAAACTTCCTTTTGGGTCGACAGCAAGTTGTGTGCATCGGTCAAAGGAAATCAGATCCTGCTATGGTCAAGAGTGGCGTCCCCCAGGGTTCGGTAATGGGACCCATTTTGTTCCTTATATATGTGGACGATGTCACAAGAGCTTTAGACTGCGAAAAAACGATGTTTGCCGGTGACATGAAGATATGGAGTGTAATTTATGACCCTACCGACGAAGACAGATTGCAGGTGAACCTCACTCGGTTGGAAGAGTGGTCAAACCGTTGGCTCCTGTGGTTCAACGTTGGTAAATGTAGCATACTTCGCCTCGGCAACACAGCCAGATCCGCCAGCACAAGAGGCTATTTGCTGGGCGGCGCAGCTTTACGAGGCGTCGAAGCCCAAAAGGGCCTCGGTGTACGGACGATGAACTCCCTGTAACCATCCGCTCGATTTTCGACAGTGGCAAAAGCGCAATGTCCTTACTGTACGCCATCAAACGTGTGTTTATGGATTTTTACGAAGACACCTTCCCTAAGACTATGAAAATTCGTCCGGCCGCATTTGGAGTACGGCATACAAGCCTGGAGACCGTGGGCTGTTGATGACCAAAACTGCCTCGAAAGAGTTCAGAGGAGAGCCACGAAGATGGTTGGGGGTCAAAGCTCCTTTCCTTATGCAACCCGCCTAGTAAATCTGAACCTTTTCCCTTTGAGTTACAGGCAACTTCGCAGGGATCTCTTGCAAGCATTCCGCATTTTAAAGGAGTTGGATCGTAGTCTGGCCTTCGAGGACCTTTTTGAATTTGCTACCATGACCAACCTCCGAGGTCACCCTTTCAAACTACGCCCTCAGCAGGCAGGGCTGGATGTGTGGAAGTCCACCTTGTCTGTCCAGGTGGTCAAACCGTGGAATGCTCTTC